CAGAGGAAGTGAGAGGGATATCTACAATAACAGGGAATTCACAGGACTTCCTATTGATGGTAGGTATCAATAAGAAGGTATAGCCAGAGGTTTTGCTGCTGCTGTTCAGGCAGCCCAGCAATGGAAAACAAAGAGAAACCCCAAGAGACTTGCTTTGCATCTGCCACGTGTTTCAGATGAGAGACAACCTGAAGGGATGCAGCTGAGATTGAGAAAGAAGCCTTAGGAGAGGGGCTGTGATGCTATGCTGCTTTGCCCAGTGGATGACCCAGCCCAGCTGTTATGAGTCCATGTGAAGCTAAACAGAAGTGCTCTGCAGTCCTTTGCAATGCTGCTTTTAGCAGCCTAGGAACACTGAGGGAAGGCTTCTTCACTGGTGGGGTTGACACACGTTCTCTGGCATTCTAAAATATTAAAAGCCATCACAACTAATGAGATGCAGCAAAAAAAAAAAAAAAAAAAAAAAAAAAAAGTGGTGCAAAAAAAAAAAAAAAAAAAAAAAAAAAAAAGTGGGTCATGCCCAGAGAGAAGCATATCACTTGCTGATTTGCTCCCACATTCCTAGAGACAAGTATCTGGGGTTTGGTGGTCTCTGGGACCACCAAAAATAATGGCTAGAATTCACAAGTAGGAATTCAGGTTCAACATGGAGGGCATGGAAAGAAAAGAGAAGGCACTGAAGAGTTAACTGTGGATGGCAAAGAGTATGCCATCATATGCCATTTGGAGGCAGAGTATGACCAGCTAATGGACTAATAAGATGTCAGTGTTATTAATGGGAAAACAAAGAAGCCATCATTAGATGATATCTGACAGGGAAGGGTCAACCATGCTAACAGATGCCACTGAACACTGAAAGAGAGTCAGGAGGCAGCTAAATAATGTAGTGCAATATCAGACACACACTGGTGACCAGCATGAAATGGAAATGAATCGATACAAAATAATGAGAGAATAATACACTGATTAGTGAGGACAGGGGTGGATTTCTGATCCAAGATTCTTCCCAAAAGACTGCTGCGTGCTCTAAGAATGATAAAACTTTAATCAGTTCATCAAGTCGCTCACTTAATCCAGTGTGAGTACACTCAGGGCTGGATGAAAGTACCTTCTGCGTCTGAAATTTAGGCATGGTGATTTCTGGGGCTGAGGAAACGTGCTCAGCTGTGGGCACAGGTCCAGATCCCAGAGTGAAGAGCCTGGGCAAGGGATTAGTTTGGAAGTGATCCCGCCAAAGCTGAACCAGAGGGATGATCACCTGCAGTTTTCTTAAGCAAAACAGGTGGAGAGTTTACATGAGTATAAGCTACTTGCTAAATCATTCACACAGAGAGGGAGGAAAGAGACATTTTGTGGTCCAAAAGCCACATATATTTGGTCAAAGGGCTACTGAATAGAAAATGCAAAACAAGGTGGGGTGGGGTCCAGAGGCAGGGTTGTCTTTTTTACCAGATTCTTCTTTCTGCCTGAACTTCCCATCTCCTTGCCACCAGTGGGACCCAACATCTTTCTTTGCATTATCCCAATTTCTGTGGAGATGGAGGAGTCTCTCAATTGAGTCTCACTTCTGGATCTTGGAGAAATTTAAAGATGGTGCAGCAGGAGGAAAGCTGCCAAGTCATAAAGACTACGGATTTCATTAGCCTACAGGTAGAACTGCCAAGAAGCACAAATTTCTAGCACCTGGGGAAAAAACAACACTAATAGAACTTGGTAGCGTGGGTGAGGAAGAGGCTTAGCTTCTAGCTTGCCTTGGCCACAGTGGTGCAGCAGGTGAGGACATCTTAGAAAAGCTTTCTGAAGTCAGGAGATTTATGCCTTATTTCCAAACAGAACAGATTTTGCTGAAAATGGCATGGATTTTTACCAGGTCAATATAATTTATGAGTAAATAGGAGATGTTTAAGTCTACTCCTACATAAATAGCCCCAGCAGGAAAGTAGTGGAGCCTGCTAAAAAAAAAAAAAAAAAAAGATCAATTTTTAATGAGTCTCCATCAGAAAAATGTAATATCAGCTGAAGAGATCTCAAATCTTTCCTACAGAGGCTACAGAAAGGACCCCATTGCATGCATCATTGCACATGGGCAGACTCGCTGGCTATACTCTTTCTGAAAGGATTCATACCAGAGCAAAAGTGAGGTTCACATATGTTTTTATTAATCATTGCTTTCAACTCTAATGTTATACAGAGTTATGAGACCACTGTTTGGAAAGTGGTTGTCCATATTATGAAAGAACCAAGGAAATCTGACAGTGTGTGAGCACAGCAAGCACGGCAGGTAGGACAGCAGCAGCCAGTGGGTTTTTGCAGCAGCTGCTCCCTACTACCTCATCTCTATACATGACACCCAAAATCCAGGCTGCTAGAGAATGCGACAGCAGTTTGGGGAGCAACTCAGAACACATAAGCAAGTAGGTATAGAGCACACCCATAGCAAACACCAGGGCAAAACTCCTTTGAGCTTTCGCAGCAAATGCCTTACTTTGCTCTCCTGCAGGAGCTGGACCACCTATCACAAAACAGCTTCATGAGCATCTCTGTTCCTCAAGCTCATACCACTTTCAGGAAAGAAACAAGGAAGGAAAAAAAAGCATCAAAGCTGGACTTTTCTACCATGAGCCAAGATTCACACAAAGTTCACCTTTTGTAGCATCAGAGTAGATGATTTCCACACCAAATAATCAGTTTTGACTTCATATTTCTTACTGGGTAAATAAAAATTTCTCTGGAGTAAGAGCAGCGCAGTAGGTAGGGAGATACCTTTCTACCATATGCGATCTGAAAGAGATGAGGCTTTACAAGAAGATGCTACAGAATTTCTCAGATTTGTTTCAGGACAAAAGGATTCTGGAAGAGAAAAGAGAAACTGAAACAGTTCTGTCAAATCTGATGCTGATCATTTCTCAACCGATGACCAAATGGAGGTGAGATTTGAAACTGATGTTTGAATACTAGGAGCTGCCATATCCCAGTAACTGAGATCTCCAAGCAGCTGGTGAGAAACACAGGTTCTGAAGACAATCCCCAGCTCCTAGGACAAGAGACAAGACCAAATCCCTCCTAGCTCTGCTGTCCTTTTCTGGACACACTCCAGGGCCTAATGTCTTTCATGTAGTGAGGGGCCAGAACTGAACACAGCACCAGAAGTGCAGCCTCACAGAGGGACAGCCTGCTGGCTGCACTATTTCTGACATAAGCCAAGAAGACCATTGGCATCCATTCCAATGGTGGCCATTGGTCTTCTTGGCCACCCAACCCACTGCTGCCTCACGTTCATGAACACCCCCAGCTCCTTTTCCTCTGTGCAACTTCCCAGTCACTCTGCCCCAAGCGTGTGGAGTTGCGTGGGGTGAACAATAAGGTACAGAACAAAAAGGCACATTCAGCCCTACACTCCAGCTTTCCATACCAAGCATTCCTTTCAGAACTCAAACTCTTAGTGCTCTCCTCTTGAATTTTTCATTAGCATCATACGCAGAGCTCTAGAGGTTAGAAATACCATCTCAGAGGCAAAATGCCATGAAATAAGATCACAATGCCAGACACAGGTTATAAACAACAAAATCTGAATTCTCAGTAAGGCCTGTGACTTTTTCAGCACCTACAGACACACTGGGAAGCCCACACAGATTTAATTCTATGCTTCTAGAAAGTTTTAAGGTAGAAATAAATGCTATTGCTGTAACACAACTGCCTACATCCAGGCTTGCAAGGACACAACTCTGAGGTCTGCTCAAAGGTAAACTGTTGAAAATCAGGTACTTTTTCCATTTCTATTATTGTTGCATCTGGGCAAGGAAAGGTAATACAAAGTCACTTTGAAGGAAGCACTTATTTATCTCCAAGTCTTCCTGGAGTTCAGCTGGTCATTGCCTTGCTAAGAGCTGCAGCTCACAGCACTGCACTGTGGCAAGGCTGCCCGAGCCCCCTCCCATTGCAAACCAGCATCTGTTACTCCTTTCCCCATGAAAGAAGCCTGTAGAAATTTCTCTGGAAATGGAGGAACAGAATAAGGAAAAGAAACTCATTGTTCCATCAGCACCAGCCAAGGCCAAGGAACAGAGACTATGCACGTGTCAATCACTGCTACACTGCAACTGGTCCCCTCCTCCCCAGGACATTTCCCCTTTGCAACAGGAGGGGAAGGAGCCCTCTCATCTCCTCCCTCACTGCCAGCACCATGCCTGTTTCCTGCCAAAAGCTGCTGGCTGCATTTTACATAACTTTATTGGTCTGACTTTCCAACTGGTTAACAGCCCTTATCAGCAAATAAAAGCCTCCAGCAGCAGATGAGCAAAGTGATTGAGAAAGCCATAAAAACAGAAAGGAGAAAGCTGTCTGTAGTTAAAGCAAGCCTCAGCTCCTGCTCCCCAGCAAACTCCCCCAGCAAATACAGAGAACTAGCAGGTTTATTATCCTCCCTTTGATTGTATGTCATTATTATAGCATTGTTTTCCCACATACCAATTCTGCCTTAGCTCCCACTTGCAATAAAACACACAGATTTGGGTTCTTTTTAAAGATTAATAGACACAACTACCCTCCTACTCCAAACTCATGAAGTGGCTGAATATCACTCTTGAAATTCCAAATTCAACATCATGACAGTTATCTGTCGGTGCTGAATGCCTGCTAAATTGTGAATTACGGTACAGTTTTGAGGAGGGAAAGGGCTGGCAGTGGACCAGTAGCACTATGGCCAAATTATGATGAAAAATTGGAAGAAAACATTAAAAAGATAAAATAATTTCCTTAGAATTTTCAAAAGGAAAAGAAATGAACTTTTGGCACCAAATGCTTTGAGAGGGTGAGAAGCTGCATGCTCAGAGCCACCATTTCAGGTGGGAGGGACCAGTGATGGTAAGACTAACAGGAACTTTGCTGAAATCCAGTATGGGCTTTCAAGATGCAAAAGAAGAAAAACACACAGAGCCCACAGGCACTAGGAGCTCTCTTGCTGATGCAGAAATGCTTCATTTTAGCTCCAGTTATGATGTCTGCATTTAGTATTCATTGCCATGTCACTGATCCTCATGAATTCCTCCCATGTGCGTGTGGCTCTCTCATCTGTTTCCATCAGCATCCTGGTGTAATTTATTATTAGTTAAGAATTAATATACACTTGGAAGTATAATGTTACATTTTTCTCTTATCTTCTGGTGCTCAGAAGCATTTCATGCAGCAGATCAAGCACTAAATCTGTCATGTAAACACATTATTTTGTCATGTAATGCATTATGATTGCACACTACCAGGAAAATGAAAAGCACTTAATGCTTTGTGTTTGATGTGTACTGTCAACAAAACTCAGGAAGAATTTATAAGGTGTTGGAGTTTAATGAGTACCTATTTAATAGGGTTTGCCGTATCATTCAAAAAAACATGGCTTTACAGGAGACATGTGATACAATGAATTTTGATGTGAATTATAAAGCTCGATCTAGATCTCCAGGCTTCTACACAGAAAAGATAATAAGACCCAGAGAGCTGTTTATAAGCAATAAATCATGACATTTTCTCTTGGAATATTCCTCTCTCTTCCATCAGGATTTGTGAAGCTGCAGGCACCATGTCTGAATGCACTATCTAGTATCTTTGTATAATAAAATTATTTCAAGGAATAACTCAGCTAATGACAGGAAATGAATGAACTAGAGAAGATAGAAAAATGAGCTGATGAAATCGAACATGAACTCTACTGAACACTCAGCTACTGTAAAATTTGTCAATATTTTGCTGTCACAGGACCTCCCTAGGCTTCATAACCCATACATTCATTTGGGCACCTCTCATCAAGCTTAGCAATCCTGCTACTTCTCTCCTCAGCACTGGAGGGGGTTTGCTCCTCACAAAGCCCTTCTGAAGGGAGCAACCACAGCAGAAGTGCTTCAGGGGAAAGCAGAGGCACTGAGTCACCCCCTACCCACATCTCCAGCTCACTCAGCTGTGGCCTTTGCAGTCATCCTTCCTGAGTGCTTTGCTGGTGCCACAGTTGAATCTCAGACACAGGCATGGAGATCACGCTCCCCATCTCTACCAGATTCTGTGCTGTGATACAGATGCCACGGAGGCCCATAGAGATGCTCATATCAATGATATTTGGGGTCCAGAGTTAGTCCTGGGACGCATCCATCCAGCAATGCTATTTAACCTAACTTTATAGACAAAGTCACACTACACTGTAAGTCTCTATGGCATGATTCCAGGTTGTTGCACACAATTAACAATGCCCTACTGAGTTCAGGAGCTCTCCCCACCACAGGGCAGGCTTCACTTCCTCTTGGGAGGGCTGCATCATGTTCTGGACCAGTGTCCTTCCCCCTCTCTCAGCTATGGAAGGAGCCAAGGGTAACTACACACCAAACAGAGCCATGTAAGAGCTCCCTTTGACCTCGTGGTACACAGTTCACAGGATAAAGTCTTAAAAACTCTCCTCAGAGGGCTGATGCAATTAAAAGCTCCACGTTGTTAATATTAACAAGATTTACTACTACCCATTTACAAATGATTTGCATTTTTATGCATTCTTTTAGCATGGATCATCATGAATTTCTTTGGTATTCATGAGGTTGCAATTTGTGTATTTCCATAATTACCTCATCATAATCTTCATTAGATAATGGACCAAGGGCATAAAACACCAAGTAAAATTCAAAAGCAGCATCAACTCACCAGTCAGTGAAGAGGCTGATTTTCCCTTGCCCTTGAAGCAGAGCTCACAGGAAAGCCCTAGGAAAGAGCCGTCCCCATTATCCGCTGAGCCTTGCAGGTCAAGAGAAAAAATAAAATCAGTGTTTGATCACAGAAATCTATGGGAATTTCCCTGCTCTCAGTACTAAAATCCATTGAGAAGTTCACTGCTGAACTTCTTGAGGATTGAGAGAACTGCATCTTGTGCACTACAAGCTAAGAAATAGTGATCCCTTCCCCGTGTTCTTGAAATAGGATGCAGCTGAGAGTTGATAGGCTCGTGCACACACCTGCTGCACACCAGGCCCAAGAACAGGTGGGGCAAACCCCCAGGACAGGTCACTGCCTCCCTCAAAGGAAAGTTTGATCACATCCAAAACTAGCTCAACCCCAAACCTCATGGATAATTCGTTACTGTACACAAAAGGAAAGAAGAAAGAGAAATGAATATTGTGTACGTAAAATCATTTTGTGCACTTAAGAATGGATATGAACAGATTTAAAATTAACTGACTTAGTTCACCACCAAACAAGTGATTTAAAACATCCAATAAATAATTCATCCCAGCAACATACATCACCACGAGGCTCAGTCTGTGACACAGAGCGTGTTGGGGGGGTGGTCTTTGTGAAAGAGACAACTCAATTCGGTGCAAAGTGAATAATCCAAAATCCCATAAATGATTCATCACTGAATTAAAAGCTATAGATTTCTCCATAGAAATTCTTTGCTCTACATTAAACATGCAGATGATTTTGTGGTGTGTATAACTACTGGATGACTTAGTTAAGAATGACACTCACTCCAGTAGTTGAGAGTAAATTTGAAGCCATGAATCTTCATAATATGTAAGTCTGAGTATTCAAGACTTGAGGACTGAAGAGGAGCCAGGCCTCCACTCTTTTTGTTTCAGATTACATAATTACAGATTGTTCCCTGCCGCAGCTATTAGATCAATACAATAGGAAAGGCGTTACAACAAAGGTGCGATGATGGAAGGACTGGCACAACAGAAAGGTGCTACAAAGGAAAGGAAGGGAAGAAGATTGCTCACCTACAACAGAAGATTCCAGATTCACAGGGGAAAGCTTCACCAAGAAGGGATCTGCAGAAAAAGATCTTTCCCCGCTGGCAGTCAGCCCTTAAATAAGGTCTAAGAGAGGTGCAGCCAGGCTCCAACCCTTCTGGTGGCACTAAATTGCCTTCACCTGTGCTCCCAGGGCTGACCAGGTCCTTTCCCAGCTGCTCAATCAGTGGTTCAGCCCGTGACTCAACAGTTCCCACACACCTGGTTTGGATGATTGATCTTTCTCCCCTTTTTCTACATGTTTAAAAAGTAAAATACAAAATAAATAAAACACCTTTTCTTGATTCAAAAAAAGTTGCAGCAGAACATGCAACTTCTTCTAAGAAAGAAAATAAGGCTTCCATTTGGGGAAGGGGTGGATTTCCTTCCCCTTGGAGAAGGGTCAGCATCTCAAATATTAAAGCTGATACCAGAATAACAGAATCACCCGAGGTGGAAAGGACTCTTAAAGGCCAACTGCTCCGACCCCCCTGCACTGAACAGGAACACCCACAGCTCCACCAGGTGCTCAAAGCCCTTCAGCCTGACTTTAGCTGTCTGCAGGGATGGAGCACCACCTTCTAGCAACCTGTGCCACTGCCTCACTGTCTTTACTGTAAGAAATTTTTCCTTATAACCAATCTAAATCTCCCCTGGTTTCAATATTTGAAACTATTTCCCTCTGTCGTATCCCAACAGACTGCTAAGGAGTCTTTCTCAATATCTTCCTCCCCAGTCTTCCCAATGCTTTTTGCCCACTCCAGGTTGCATCTCTCCTGCACCCTCAGCTTCAAACCAGTGAGAACCCTTAAGCTGACGTTGCCAAAGGGCAGGAAATGATCCTTCCCACCAAAGTATTCCCTGCAGGAACCCCCCCCTCCTTAATCTCAGTACATCACTTCCACAGCCCCTTTACATTAGTTCAGCTGTTTCTCTGCAGCTCAACTTTGCCATCTGCTGCCATGTCTGCAGCAGCACGTCCCAAATCCTCTTTCCATCAGACTAAAATTTTCCACTTTTTCGTGCATTCATCTCACATGGCACAGTTATCTCTGCACTTTCCCCAAGTCCCATGATGCTATTTATTCTTATTTCTAATTTCCTATGTGCTCAGCTGCATTCTTCTCTTCTGCTTGCTCCTTCTTAAGCTCCAATTAGAATCCACCTTTGGAACCCAGAGATTTATTTATATTAACCTTAAAAAATGCCTAGAAAAGCACATTAACGCTGAGAAACAAACCCTGAGACATAATGGAACATTCTGCTGAGATGGAGAGGGACCATCAGAGCAGTCAGCTCCAGTAAAGTCTATTAAGAGAGGTCTCATTAATCTCAGAATGATACTTAATTCTTTCCTTGGAATTCTCTTTAGAGGATTTGTACTTGTAACTCAGTGTCCACCTCTGTTTCTCATTGTTTCTTCCAGTTGTTTGTTTTTTGTTCGTTTTTTTCCACTAGCCAATCTCATGTCCCAAAATACTCAGATCAGTCCTTTTTAACTGCTTTTCTGTACCTGCTCCACACTAATTGAGTGGTTCAGTCATGATCTCTTCACATCAGATCCACTTCACACAATTTAATTCACCATTTTGATGAAGGAGGGAGGCTTGCATTGGCAAGCACAGCAAGCACCACAACAAGTACCCTACAAAACAACAGCACAAGCCCTACAGCAACTGCAGGGCTGCTTTTCTCCAAGTTTTCCCATCCCCAAGCACCAGTCACTGAAGGACCTTACAGCTTTTATTTGTTTGAGGATGCTCACAAAAGGGTTTTCTTGGCTTCAGTGCTTTATGTTTGGAGGATCAAACACACTTTCTTAGCTCGTATTTCTTCTGCCCTTCCACATCTCCCCAAAGCAGGACCTTCCAGACCAGCAGCCAACCCTGCTCTGCAGAAGTCTTCAGTGCAGAGCTAATTAATACCTGCAAATAGATTGGCCCAGTCCTGCTAATTGGAAGAAAAAAAAATAAAACAAAGCCAGCTATTTTGGTTGTGTTCTCATAAAGGAAAGCATAAAAACTGCATGGTCCAGCAATGCAGGACCAGTATACTCAGCAGGGTCTTGAACCCAGGCAAGACTGAGCAGGAGCCCACAGAGGAACCTCTTCTGCCTCCACAGACCTCATGCAGCCCCATGTGGGCTGGGAAGATATGCTGTGGAGATAAAATTCTCACCGCAGCCTCAAGTGTGACTGGAGGGGAAGTCCAGGCCTGCCACATTTTGCTCAAATGATGCTTCCATCACATGCTCTCAGCTCAAGGCCTCCTTTCCTGAAGTTGCTGTAGCAGGGACTGACAACTGCAGGCAATGGAGGTAATGGGTTTGAACCATTTCCTGTGCTGATCCCACAGAGCTGCTGAGGACTTCAGTGATACAGATGAACGATGCATCCCACAGACGACCCCTCCTCCAAGCAAGACCCCATAGCCAGCCTCTCTGCACTGACCCTGCCAGGCAAGACCATCAACACAAGCTATATTTTAGAGGCTAAATCTCATCCCAGCTGAAACACCATTTTGCAGCTTGTCATGATGAGGACAAAAAGGCAAATGTATTCAAATGAGTGGAGATCCCCTATGCACGCTGCTGGAGGAGACAGGGATTTACCAATGAGTGGTGGGGAATGTTATGGGGTTGGACTTCTGGGTCATTTTCCATCTCTGGAAATGCTGCAGCACTTCTTTGGAGAGCTGAGATAGCACACCAGTCATTTCAGCACCTGGGGAATAACTAACTCCTGCTTAAGTGCTCTAGGACGTGGCATAAAAAATGCAATTTCTAGTGGTAGATTACAAAGTTTATTAGCATAGCCTCCAAGGGTCACTCGAACATGCTGAATCAAGGGCAGCACTAGAACCCCTGAAGTGATCTACATCTTTATTTATTCTTAAGGCATTCCTGTGGCTTAATTTTTCCCTTGATTATATAAAAGCAATAAGAAACTTTGTATTTGCTGGTTTGTATATTTCTTTGCACTTCAAAGTTAAGAAGCATTCACTGATATTTCTTCTGTTCCCCAAAGTCTGAGTTGTATTCAAGGAAAAGCATTAGTAAAACTCAGAGAAAAACATTTAATTTGGTATTAACAAGAACACAGATCCCAGAAATGCTACTGAATAATGCATACTCTAAAAGAAGCTTCTTTATACAGTGCGCTTTAAAGGTGAGATGGCAAAATTTGCACAAAGATTTTAAATTTTTATAGTTGAAGCTTTGGCCTTTGGTTTACACCCACTGATATTTTAAGGGCTCACAAATGTCTCTCGATGCAGCTTGAAACAGGTCCTTTCTATTTGCAGTGCAGCTGTGCTTTATTCCAGGCCATCCACTGATGATGCAGGAGGTCTTCACAGAACAAAAAGGTTGTTTTCTCCTTCAGAGCCACTGAAAACTTTTTCAAGGTCTTCAGCTGGTCTAAGGCTATAGTGATAAGCACAGATCAGTATGTATGGGGCAAAAGTACTTTGATGCTTTAGAGCAACCTTTCTTATTTGCAACGTTGGCACATTCCCCTTGAAACAGAGACCAGAAGCTACTGAGTCCATTGATTTCAATGGCAAAAGGTCTACTTATTTACACTATGAAGTATTTACCTTGCACGCATCATTCTAACAATTAGGAAAGGCCTGCTCAGATCTTATAGTGACAGGTGCCAGATAAACACTATGGGGTTCAGAAAGGAGCCTTTCCTTGGCCCCCAGCCCTCACATCTTAGGTGTAGTATGCACTGGGAGACAATCTACTATTTAAAAAGTATTGGTACTGGCAAAGGGTGATACTCCAATTGACAGCCCTATTTGGTTAGAAAAAGTCCTGTGTTCAAGTCAAGCCAGAAAACATGAGCTTATTAGGAATATGTGCCCTGGGTGATTCATCATACCTAAATATTCCACATCTGTTTCAAAATGATTACCTCAGTGGTCACCTGCTATACTTCTGTGTGACTCAAGGAGGATGTGACCGGGTGCAGTGACCCCATGAGGGCTGCAAGATTTATGCACTGGTGGAAGGTTTGGTTTACCATGCTGCTGCACTGTGCCCCTCCTGGGCCCTTTTTTGTTTTGTTTTTTTTTTTCTCTACTGGAATGGACTGCTACTTCATGGAGGACTGTTTGTAAATCTCTGATCCCTTTCTGAGCCAAGATGAGCAAATGAGAAAAAAAAAACCTCCTTTTTTTCCCACTGTTTACATCTTCCTTGATTTAAACCAGCCTCACCAGGCTCATGCACTAGGATTTACCCTGTCTGTGGCAGGGATGATCGTTAAGGCCCCTCCCCATACCATTCTATGATTCCATTTGGTCAAAGAATAATGCAGGCAAGGAATTTTCTTAAGGTGGGGTCACTGTGTCCCAGTGTCGGCTGCTAACCTTCCCCAGTGCTCTGGGTATCTGTTCAGTACTACATATGGGAAGTTTCCAGGAACCACTGTTTGATTTTCTGGGGTGAAGTTGTCTGAAAATTTACATTATCAGCCTCACAGACCAGTACTGTACCTGTTACAATTAGTGGCAAATAATTTCTGTTTCTAGAAAAAATATGTTGGAACTTTTAATAGAAAATTATAAAACGGATTACCTTTTCATAATAAATTTCCTTGTGTGTCTTCCTAGAAGCAAAATCATATTGTTACAATGACAAAAAAGAAATCTACCATTCTATCAAATTAGTCAAATGAGTTCAGAAGCAAAGACACCAAGCTGCAACATTTCTGTGAGCTAAGCAGGAAAGAAAGGATCTCTTTCTAAGCTACATCAGTGTTCACCAGGAGCAATTCCAAGGAACTATAGGACCACATTACTAAGAATAAGAGCCCTCAGTGAGAAACAGAACTTGACAAGCGATGGGTTCTTTGCACAGGTTTCTTCCTGTTGCATCCCCACCTCATCCCCATGGTGACACAGTCCTGGGCTATGGACAGCAGCTCCATAAAATGAACTGAGTGCTGTTACACAGTCCATGGCAGATCTACCAGAGGATTCATCAGAGATACAGAAGGATATCTGCATTAGGCCACCATTGGAAACATTAAAAAATAAAAGTGCTTAAGTGGTACTTACGCTTCCAAAGTAACGATAAGAGTATCAACATTAAAATAATGGATATCCCTATGAGAGATACGGTGAGAATGGTGGAGATGCGAAACTGGAAAAGAGAAGAAAAAAGTTAAGAAGTCTTTGAAAGCATTTCTGCGTCAGAGGTATCCATGCAGAAGTGAGCTCCAGGCTAAGAGCTCTGTAATATCTGCATGAGGCTGAGTTTGCAACACTCTGCTCAGCTTGCCAGAAGAAGACACATCAGGTTGATCATGATAAACAGCATGAACTGCCTGTTAAATATTTAATAAACTCTGAATGCTCTGAAGCATTTAAGCCTAAATGCATCCCATTAAACATGAACTCAGTAAGTCTATAGGAGCTTAGTCACCTTCATCTTTCTCTAAGCTAGAGACAGGGAAATGCAACAACCTCCTGAAGGGGCCTCTTGCCTGCTCTCACCCAGAGGACAGCACCTCATGCAGAGGTGTTGGAGGGATGAGGAATTTTTTGAAGTGCCCGAACCAGATGGGATTGCTGCAGGTTTTAACACAACCCACAGGATCAGCAGAAGGTGAATAGGTGGTTCCTGAGCTTCTGCACAAAAGTCCAGGCTACTGTTTTGCAAAGATCATCTGTATGGCATCAATGCATTGAAAAATCACCAGCCCATCCTGCTGGCCTGGCTTCTTGTTAGTCAAACACTCGTGAAACTTACAGAAAGTTTCATCCCAGCTTTCTCTGTATTGCTGGCTGAACTCAGTGTAGTCCCTGGAAACAGAAGAGAAATAAATTATCAATGGCACAGTCCTCTGAGGGTGGGAGGGCTACTGTGCGAAGTCTGGCCCCAAGTAAGAGAAATGTAGCACCTCAAAACCAGAAGTTTACAATCTCTTTCAGCCACAAACTGTATACAGGCAACCATCAGCAAGTGTCAGCCTTCATCAAGGAAATAAGAGGCTTCCAAGGGACAGCCTATGAAGCAGGATGGAAGAAATTTGTCTCTCGCAAGAGAATTTTTACTTCCATAAGCATGACAAAATATGGCAGAGAGCACAGGTAGTTAGCAAGGCACAAGTTTAACTGGAGGAGCTGCCTCTGCTTTTCTGTGGTCAGAGCTATGTGTGGTTGCTTTAGCTGGAAACCACAGGAAATACCTTAACATTAAGATAACTTACCACAGATCTAAGGTAGCTCTATCAAGATGATGCTTTGGTGTGTCTCCTTTCTTTCTTTCTCTTTTTTTTTAATCTTAGCTTATTAAAAATAATTCAGTTGTTCTGGTTTTCTTAGCCTTGGGCATAGGAATGAACTAAACGAATGCTCAAGAAATCTCGCAGCAAACTTATAGGCTGCTGTCCTCTGATCCTACTGTCTTGATTTTGGCTGGTGAACTTAAAGCCACCGAAACATTAACCTGAACATGGCCTGTGCTCATCATGATCTCATGCTATAAAATACTGAAGCATTTAAGTATTTGAAGCTCTTGATCCCTCATAGGAGGCACCAATGCTGATCAGCATCCCAAAGACAGAAGAGTGTCTTAGCTAAGCAAACTGAAGCAGCAGCTTATCTCAGGACAGGAGAGGTTCTGTGCATTGGGTCATACCCTAATGTATAGAAAGACTCTGATGAGAAGTGCTTCCAAGGGTCTGACAAGGGAACAACCATGGGGCCTCTGTATTAGCAAATGCACTGGGGACCAGATGAGTCACTTGACAGGGCACGTACATGTAGCACACTTATAGTGTCCCAAACCACAGGTGAAGGAAACACTGCATGCATGAGGCTCACAGAATGTCACCCGGCAGCAGGGCTGATCAGGCAGTCACAAGTAACCCCACTAGAACAAATTTGCATGCTTTTTTTCTTTTCCTCCAGTAGATAACTCTCCTATCTCCCCCAGATATCTCAGTTCAGATCAGCTTACCTATGACAGCTGAGCTGCTTTGTTTCCATCTACCAAAGCACGTGTTTGAATGTTATCAAAGACATGGACAGGACACAGGTAGCTCACATGCATGCAATTTTAGCAACAGAAATTTCCATTTGAGTAGAAAGTAGATTCTGGTGAGTAACAAATACAGGATATCTCACTCTGGCACACATGTCCCATAGGTCAAAATTAGATTTTCTGGCAGCGAACCACAACCTGCTTGGTGGAGCAACTATTGGTGCCTCCTCTCCGTACCTGAAGGACCGAGGGTTGACTTCGGTGTTTGAAATGTGGTTGGCTCTGGCAGGGCTGTTGCTGGGGAAATCAGGCAAAGACAGAAGAGAAACTTAAATGAGAGCCTGCTCAGCAGGAACCAAACACCCAGCTAACCCAATCTGTCTGGCAAACGCTTGTGAGAAATTAACTAACAAAAACAGACGAGGTTCTGTCTGGACTTGGCTTATAGCACAGCTTCACCGAACACAAACTGGGCACCATCCACCTTGTTTTCAATTCTCAGGTAGATTCTCAATACCTCTGAAACATTACAGTAAAATGATACCCATGCAAGAACATGTTTTTGTTGTTTTTTGTTGTTGTTGTTGTTTTTAATTAAGATACTGTGTTTAACTATGCTGCAGCATTTGCAGACACGTGGCAGTTTTGTTGTTGGAAATAGCATGACAAGTTTTTGCAGGGGTGGGAGCTTGCATGATTCACATAGCATGGTACATTGCCTGCTCTTACTCATTTAGTGACAGCTCTTTCCAGCCCACGGTTTCCTCCTGAATCCCAGAGGTAAGCCTCTTTCCAAGACTCCCTATTTACAACAACAGAACATGGGCATTACCCAGAATTATATAAAAAAGATGAGAAGCAGAGTAGTGCAAGAAATGCTCACATATGCTCAAGAGATCAGTTAAGCCTCTTTCATGAGCCTCCACGGGCATTCAAGGAATGGTTTCCTAAACTGTTTCTGCTGCAAGTCTCTAGACCTATCAAAAGGAGATCTGCAAAAACCCAAATACTGTGTGAGCAGTGAGCAGTGGCCTCTCCTAACAGCCAGATATGACACCATCCTTGAATTTTAGTTTTCCATTTTTAAAGTCATCACTTCCAGGTGTCTGATGGACACGTTCTGACACCTGAACAACAGTCTGGTTTTTGTTTGTACTTGACTAGCAGCCACGAAGTGCAAACTTCATGAGAGTTTGTTCATTTCTCAGGTCTGTCACGATTTTGTACCCCAGCTCCTTTTCTTTTGAAGGACTGACTGATGGTTGTGGTAATTGCCTGCTGCTTTCCATCATCACCAGGAGCACACAATGGGCATGGGAGAGCTGAGCCTGCAGCCACATCTGGCAGAATCTGTTCAGTGATGACATTCAGGGCGTGTTTGAAACAGAAAGCTCAGTGGATTCACAATAATGACAGGTGAGATATCTGACAATTCAGTTTGGATGGTGACAAAGAGAAGTTTTTACTTCAGACCCAAGACTCAAGTGACTCAAACCCTGCTTCCTTTGGAGGCCTTGAAAACATGCTGTTACCTGTTGTTTCATCCTGATTTCAGACAACTACTCTCTGTACCTCAAACCCTCCTCACTGACACATGCAACAAATAGCTATTGGTACATGTTTGGTACACTCTTAAGAACAGTCAATACTTCTGTTTATGATAACTTCATCATTTCTCTGAACATGCAACATCTGACCTTCCAGCGTTATTGTGCTCACCTACAGTTGGCACATCATCTGTCCAGAGAAAAGAGGCCTCTTCAGTTCCATCTGCAGTCAAAAGTATACTTGGGAATTCAGAAGTCACTGAAACAAAATAAGAGCCACTGCTCATAAAGATCACTGCTTAGGGGGTTATTCATATGGTGTTCAGAATTGCTCTTGCAGTTCTGCATCTGCTAAGAGACAAAACTGAACCACCATTCTCATGTCTGCAGCTAATCTGAGTAAAAGACCTTTTCAGTGGAGCATTTCAACAGGCTTTCCCAAATAAAGAAATGGAGTAGTGCAGGCATCAGTGAGTCTCCCAACCCAGGTGTAAATTTTGCATTTATTTCTATTGTACTTGATGGGGTTTCTATCACCTAATTTTTCCAGCCTGCTAAAACTGCTCTAAAGGAAAAGACAATCCCTTGTTCTCTTGACCATTCTCCATGGTTTGGCATCAGTCACAACATGTGACCTCCATTTCCTTGAACATAATATCTACAGGCATACCCATAAGCATCTCAGAGAAACCTTCCAAGCTACAATTAATTATTTGTCTTTGGAAAGTTGCTATGATGCCTGAGTCATCTTAACATGAAAAACCTCTGTTACACATACAAAAGAAAGCATTTTTGTTGGTTATTTTTGTACCTCTGGGAGGAGAGACCGGCTGTGTTGAGCAGAACACACTTTCACCCTCAGTCCACACATCACTTGTTTGGAAATCGGTTGAAAAATCTGGGGGAGCACTGGTAGTCACCACTTCTTCCAGAAAGTTATCACTTGTTGTCTTATCAAAAGTTGGGGGTGACCAGGTGGTTGTAGGCCCTGCTGAGGGGACAGCAGCCCATGTGGTTGCTAGAAGATCAGGAGTTTCTTGGGCAGCAAAAGTTGTTCCAAAATGGTTGGGGGAAGTGAGAGGTTTTCCCGTGGTTGTCATCACTGGAGGTGCTGTGTAGAAAAATTAACCAAAAGGAAAGGTGGACCTCAGCATTCACAACTCACCTTGAGGAAAGTCAGTTAACCTAATTAATGAAAATGATCCATTTATTGTGATCATTGTGATTGAAAATTGTGATTGAAGGCGAAAGAATTCTTTTGAATAGTTGTCTAATCAGCAGAAAACAAGCCTCAGGTGAGCAATTTCCAGTGCTCTGGGTTTGATTTTTTATTTTATTTTTATTTTTTGCAGGTTTCAAACATTCCCTCTCTGGCCCTTTCACAGAATGGAAGGACTGGAACCTTGAATTGCAAATCTCCTAAATGTGCAGAACATTATTGCTCTCCAATGTCCTCCTAAAAGTAAAGACACTGAGACCCTCAGTCATTCTAGATAAAAAGTTTGATTTTCAGCCACAAGTTTCTCATCAGTTCTTTCAACCAGTCCTTTATTTTTTAAGAACTTTTGCCTTCAGACTAGGAGATAGCCATGCGATTGCAGCATTTTTGCCCCACTCTCCCGATACATTGCTTACAACAGGCATATCTAGAGCTCTGTGTACACCAGCATCAATTGCACTCCAGAACAACCTCCTGTAAAGACAGAAGAATAATTGCTCTTTCTGCAGTAAGGCTGGTGGCTACCATCTTTTCCCTGTGCTTCTCAATGCTTTTCAGCCTCTTCTTGGCTTTGCAATATCTTTATTTTTAACATGCAGCTTGGTCAAATAAGGGAAAAGTAATTTGAAAACCTAAGACAAAATTTCTGTACCTGGGTAAAATTAGTAAAATCAAACCAGTCTTTAGTATTCGATGAATACCAAATGAAAAATTGGATTTAATTCCAATTCCAAGGGTTCTTCTGATGATTCCAACTTCATTTAAATCCACAAATATAGTTGTGAAATGAAAAATTAAACATTTCATTTGAAAGGAAAGATAATTCAAGTAATGATTTTCTCATCAAAGGTGCTCAATGACTTTGATTCAAATGGGCAACTGGTTTCAGCCCTCCAATGAAAACTGCTTACATCGATAAAAACACCTTTTATCAAAACCAAACAGCCAGACAGACACAACTGGGTTTTCACCTCTCCTGCAGTGTTGGGTTTCTCCCCGGTGTATAAAACCCCAGAACTCACCTCTGAGCACCACCAGCTGAATGTTCTGCTTGATGTCATTGAACCAGCCCGGGATCTCCACGCGGCAGCAGTATGTGCCCGCATCTTCTGCCTTCAGCTCCTGAATTGACAGAGACACATCTCCGTAGGAAACGTAGCCCTGCAGGTTGTACCGCTGCGATGTTCTGAACGTCACCCTGTTCCCAGTGGTGTGCAGAAGTTTGTTGTTACACTTGGAGTTTGGGCACGGGCCTCTGCCCCAGCACATGTCAGAGATGTCCTTCTCTCGTGCCACCCGGTAGGAGCAAGGCAGTGTGACAGGTTGTCCCATCATTCCTCGAACAACAGTTTCTGATGCAGTGTTCATTGCTGAGGAAGAACAAAGGAACAGGAATGAGAAATTTTGGCAGCCTCAGCTTCAGGTCTCTGCCTGTGCAACACAAAAGAAGCAGCACAGCCTGCAGAGCTCACTGCTGTGGCCCAAGGGACTTCCTTGCAGCCTATGGCAGCTTATGGCTCAGGGCAGGGTGGGCAACAGCCAGGAGTTCACGGATGTTGGCTCCTTGCCGCTGCTGGAGGGCTCCATTCTTGAGCCCCAGCCAACTGCTGTGGGCTGCTCACAAGGCACATCATCCATAAAACTTTTTGATTCTGCATTGACTTTTAGGAGCCACACACTTGGGTTATGTGACCAAGTGTGTCTAAATGTGTGATGACAGAAGCTGAGGTCTGTTGCGGATGGCCTAAGCACAGATAAAAGCTGCGCAAATGGAATTTGGGAATTCAGCTCCCATCCCATGCCCTCTCTCGAGACATGCATTTTCATTTTGCCTTCATCCTTTTTTTCCCAACACCCATTCCTCCCTCACTTTTTTTCAATTTCTCTCCTCACTACTCTTCCCAAAAATAAAAAGGAAGGAAGAGCAGTTTAGCAGGAATACCCCCAAATATACAAGTACACAAAGTACATATCTCACTCTGGCACACATGTCCCATAGGTCAAAATTAGACTTTCTGGCAGCAAACCACAGCCCACTTGGTAGAGCAACTGTTGGTCCTCCTCCCCGTACCTGAAGGACCGAGGGTTGACTTCGGTGTCTGAAGTATGGTTGGCTCTTGCAGGGTTGTTGCTGGGGAAATCAGGCAAAGGCAGAAGAGAAACTTAAATGAGAGCCTGCTCAGCAGGAACCAAACACCCAGCTAACCCAATCTGTCTGGCAAACACTTGTGAGAAATTAACTAACAAAAACAGACGAGGTTCTGTCTGGACATGGCTAACAGTGCACCTCCACCAAATGAAAATAGGGCACCATCCACCCTTTCTATCACCTTACTTCTTCAGCCTGTTAACATTCCTCTGAAGACAGGCTCAGTCACCTATTCTAATCATTCTCTCTGCTGTGGCACCAGCCACAACATCTGACTTGCACGTCCATTTTGATAAGGGCAGTGAGACACTGGCACAGGTTGCCCTGTGAGAGAGGTGGTGGTGCCCCATCCCTGCAGACAGCCAAGGTCAGGCTGGAGGGGCTCTGAGCACTGATGGAGCTGTGGGTGTCCCTGTTCATTGCAGGGGAGGCAGATCAGATGGTCCTTTAGGATCTCTTCCAACTGTTATGATTCTGTGATTCTAAAACATACTACCTATATGCATATTCAAATGTTTCAGATAAACCTTTCAAGCTACACTTAGTTATCTGTCCCTGAGAATCTTTATGATGCCTGATTTGGGCTAACACACACTATCTCTGTTACACAGACAAGTAAAGAATTGGTGCTGGTTACTTTGGTACCTTCGGGAAGAAGGATTAACTCTGTCGAGTAGGAGATGCCATCACCGTCAGTCCTCACATCAACTGCTTGAAAACTGGCTGAAAAATCTGGGAGAGCACTGGTTGACCCCACTTTTTCTAGAGAAGTGCCACTTGCTGTCTGATCAAATATTGGGGGGAAAAAAGCAGTTGTTACTCTCGGAGACTCAGTGGTTGCAGAAGCTGCTGGGGGGACAGCAGTTGCCAGGAAGACAGCAGTCTGCTCTGTTCCTTGAAGATCAGAGGTTGTTTGGGGTGCAAAAGTTGTTTTTCTGAGACGTTTTGTGGATTTTGAACCATTTTTCTTAGGTTTTTTCTTCACTGAGGTTGCTGTACAGAAAGATTGTAACCAAGAGTTAAGCTGAATCAGAGCATTCTTTGAGGAAAGCCAAATGATAATTCACCAAAAATCATCTACCTACTTAAATACTGTGACTTAAGTAAGGAGAGTTGCTGTTTAAATTTACTGCCTAATTAGCAGAAACCAAGCCTGAGGAAGAGCAAAGCCCAGATTTGTGGGTTTGATTTCTTTCTAGGCTGCAAGAAGTTACTCCTTCACACACACACAGAAACAAAAGAACCAGAATCTTTTATGGCTCAAAAGTCCAGAGAAGACCCCAGAACTCACCTCTGAGCACCACCAGCTGAATGTTCTGCTTGATGTCATTGAACCAGCCTGGGATCTCCACGCGGCAGCAGTATGTACCCGCATCTTCTGCCTTCAGCTCCTGAATTGTCAGAGACACATCTCCGTAGGAAACGTAGCCCTGCAGGTTGTACCGCTGCGATGTTCTGAACGTCACCCTGTTCCCAGTGGTGTGCAGAAGTTTGTTGTTACACTTGGAGTTTGGGCACGGGCCTCTGCCCCAGCACATGTCAGAGATGTCCTTCTCTCGTGCCACCCGGTAGGAGCAAGGCAGTGTGACAGGTTGTCCCATCATTCCTCGAACAACGGTTTCTGATGCGGTGTGCACTGTTAAGGAAGAAAGAACTGAGAGTAAACGTGTGCATGGTGACAAAAGCTCAAGACTATTGCTGATGACCCAAACACAAATAGCATGTGTGCAAATGCAATTTGGGACTCAGGCTCCCATCCCACTGCCTGTTCTCAGAGATTCTTTGAAAGTTGTTCAGAAACCTGGTTTGAAACTCAACTGGTGTTCTCAGTTCACTATCACCTCCTTTGAACAAAAAGTTCTGTCACGGCTGCCTTTCCGTGACAGACTCAATAGTAGGGGCCAAATTACCTACTCTTGCATGAAATTAGGTCCTAATTAAGTTGGCAGAGTGGTGCGATCTGCCTATGGGAATCTGTTGTTATTAAGCTCTCTCAGTCCCTGAGCAAACCCCACCAACTCTCAGTTACCTGCAGACCTGTGTTCACAGCAGCTTTAACAGCTATTGTTAAACCAGTGTTAAAAACAACAGATGCAGATTTTAATTGTGTTTTTGCTCCTGATGACCAGCTCTTCTTTGGCTTTACAGCCAGTACCCACCTTAGCATCTGGTTTGAACCTTTGTTATTATTCCCTCTTAACTTTCCATGTAATTTCCAGATTGCCCTGCAAGGTATTTCTTTCTCATGAGAGACACTACACTAAAATAAAAGTTTACATATGGTGATAAATCTCCTATGGTTTACGTTCATTCTGTCTTCGTTGCTCCTCCTGCCTTGCTGACTTTTCCCCATGTTATCATTTACATACAGTAGAGAAAGAACTGAGGGACGTGGGGAGCATCCAGATCTGGTCCTCTGCTGCAGCAAGAGGATCACCCCACAGATCTGATAACTTATGGTCTGTTTCCTTACCCCAAAGAGGACTTAGAGAAGTGCTGCTGTTATCACCAGCTCTGACACTGGTTTGCCAAACATTTCTATTCTGCCAGCTGTTTAAATGTCTTTTCTTTTTGGCGTGACTCCCAGATAGCAAACAGAGATGCTGCCAATTGTGTCCATGTCTCTCGTTTTTTCTTTAATGGACTATTCCCCAGGTGAGGCTTTAGTCTGTGGCAGGCTGCCCCATGACTTGTTATTCGGATGACATTTCAGCTTCATTATCGCTTATCCCATTGGCAGGATAAGTTGACTGGTTCAGGTTTCCACTGCTCCAAATGCTAAAAGAGTAGGAGCAGACAAAAACAACATGCAGTATGGCATGAAGGGCAGAAGTTTCAGCAGTGAAACAAATGAAGGAAAAAAAGAAGGGAAAAAAAAAGAGAGAATTTCTGACTACAGCATAAAGCTTTGTAAAATGGCTGCTTGTTTTACTGCTTGGAAACAAGTAAGTTCATTTGTCTTGTTACAGCAGAGCAGAGAAAACAGACTCTTTTGGTGACAAGAGAACAAAATAATTCATCTGATAGGCCTTGAAAGTAGAGAACCATGAGGTAAGCCACTGGAGCAGTTTAACATATATTTTCAAATCAACCCCAACAATGATGTATGTAAAACCAAGACCAGCTTGAACTATTCCTGCAGGTGACATCACTGCAGTTTGAGGATGAACGGACATATCTTCTACTCTTGTTTCATCCCAGTCTTGTACAATGCATAAGTAGCTTCATTAAGCAACTCTTCAACAAATGAAATTCTGCCTGCTCTTCTCTTTTTAATAAGCTCGAGTCTCTGCTTATTTAAAAAAAAAAAAGAAAAGAAAGAAAGAAAGAAATGAAGAAGAGGGAAGACACAAGGCACCAGAATGTCTGCAGGGCAGTTTCCCACAAGTACTGGTGCTAGGAAGTTATATTTTTTTGCAGTTTCAAGTCCTCTTTTAATTTATGTGACACTAATGTTCTTAACATCTGCCTGCACTGCAGGTTAGCAGGGAAAGCTTCAATACCACAACCATCTTTCTTCAACACAATGAACCTCTTAGCAAGGACCATGTAATTTCTTTCTCAGCTGCAGACTCTTTCACAGACACATTTTCCAGAAGAAATAGCAAACAGGATTGAATTTAAATACTTTTGAAATTAAGAAAGAATTTCCTGACACGGTTTCATCCTGACACCCTAGGTTGTTTCTGTCCATGGCAATGACCTGCCCAGCCAACCAGTCTTGACCCAAGGCACTCTGAGCATCAGCTGTGCCTGAAGCCCACTGAAGTCTGTGAGCTTTGTCACTCTGAATCTTTAATCCAAGTGAGAGAGAAATGCACTCCAGATATTTATTACATATTCCAATACAGGAAGGTATTCATAATTGTTTAAATCATATGCATATACACATATTTATGTACAGATTCTCTTGGAACAACCCTCAGTGATAGATTAAGCAGTGTAATTGCTGTTGTAATGGTTTTATCTTATGTAGACTGGCCATTGGATGGACAAAAACACGCAAGACAGCTGGCTGAAAAAATAAGTTTTTTCCTTGATCTGTTTCAGGGATAGCTTCTCCTTTTTTTTTTTTTTTTTTTTTTTTTTGCATAAGACAATTGATATCTTCTCCATATCAATCTTATTTTTTATTTCTCCTTAAAACTTTTGCAGTAATGAGGCTTCAAAGAAAACATCCTGTACACCAGAAAGAAATATTTAATCTTGAGCCTGAAAGTACAGGCCTTTCTCAGTGCAGAGCTGGGTTGAAGAGAAGGCAGTAACAAAAAGTCATTCTCATCCTGCAGTAGCTCTGCATAAAAAAAGTTTTTGAAAACAAGAGCAAATGGATACCAGTCCCTCCAATTTATGCTGAGGATAAACGTATGGCAAGGAAAGAGACCTCCTATTTCTTCTGCTGAGTCTGACAGAAGAGCAAAAATATTATGGAATTCCCAGGCTACATCACTGCGCCACTTGCACAGCAGACACCTCAGTGCATTCCACCACCTACCAAAATCTTTCCACTACTTTTTAAAGTGAATTAAGGACAGTGCAATTGCTGTCATTATTATCTTGGATATTTCATCCTAGTAGAGGTTAGTCGGTTTAATATTTAATCATCTAAGGCAGCATTTCCTGAAATGTTGGAGTGATTTACAAGCACAACTCTCACTAGGAGCTCGTGCCTCACTGGAAGTGGGTGAAGACATGCTTCATGTGCCAATTCATTCAGCTTCATTCACTGAGATTCATTTAATTCATTCAGCAATTTGGAAATTGCATCACTGATGCCTAAATGTGCATGCAGAAATTACAGCTATTTCTTTGAGAATCCAGATTTTAGATGGGCAAACTCTCAACATTTGCATTTAGAAGGAGAGTAATCTCCAGCCGTGCTTTTCTTCATGGTTGGACTAGATGATCTTAGTGCTCTTTTCCAACCTTAGTGATTCTATGATTCCTGTGACAATGTTCAAAGCAGCAGACAGTCCTCAGCGTTTAGGAAAATATTGTCTTTATCATGTATATAAGTTCATTATGCAATCAATATTTCAACTCCCTGGCTTGGGCTGTGTCTGCCTTGGGTTGTGGAGGAGATGCAGACAGAGAAACAAAGCTGGCAATACATGTTTAGCAGCAGTAAATAAATTAGATAATTTGGGGGACAGAGCAAACTAACAAAGCATATAGATAGAAGAAACTAGATACGTTTTTAAAATTAAAATAACATCTTGAGTTGTTAACTAACTCTGTAAGTTAACTCTACAATTTAAAAATATTTTTTGAAGTTCTGTATACAGTTACATCCTTTTTCCCTGTGATGCACACTTATATGGGTAAAACAAGTGCTGCCATTAAAATTTTTGTTCTCTGAGCAATCCCCCAGTCAAGCAGGCGAAGACTCACCTATAAAGGTCTGCATCACAATCCAGCGAAACAGCACAAAATGGGACATTTTGGCTGACGGCGACCCAAGGTCAGTGAGCGGAAGGAGAGAAAACCAGACCTTATAGCTACCATTAAAGATGCTGAGTGAGCCCAACTGAAGTTTCGTTTCTCCATTTCCAGATTTTACATACCGCAATTGCTTCTGTTTTCCGGATAGGTCCCTCTCCCTTTCCAAGACACAGAGCGTGGTATTACCATCACAGTTCAAAATTGTTGTGGGTTTTTCTTTTTTTTCCTTTCTGTGAATTCTTAAGATTGATTACTGTTACGTGGTACTGAGCAGCAAGAAAAAGCTCTGTGCTCTTACAGTCTTAAGCATTTGGCTTAATCTTCACCTGTGCTAAAGATTTCCTAATCCCTTCTTTGCTCTTGATTCTGCTTTCTGCTTCACGACCCCTCTGTGTCTTTTTTCTGCTTCATATTTTCCTCATCCTTACTTGTTAGGTGATGATCTGCATCAACTACCAGCCCAGTGTTTTCCTTAGACTTCCTCTTGCCATTGACATACTTTAAAAAGCCTTTTTTATTGACTGACACCACACTGATCACTGTCAGCTGAAGCTATGCTTTGACTTTTCTTGTTTCCTCATTGCAAACGCAAATTGTAGATAGACAAAATTCTGTGCAAGTAAATGTAATGCAGTGCAAATGGAGAAAACAATTCTAAGCTCAAATAATAAAATGATGGGCTTTGAACAGACTCTACCCCTCAATATGGGATTTAGGCCTCATCAGGCACAGTACCATGAAAATATTACCTCTAGGCTTGGTAACACTTGGGGGGTTGGGGGGAAGGGGGAAGGCATATTTTAGCAATTATTATTAAATTCCATATTCTCTATTAATAAGCTATCTATTCATTGAAAAGAGAACAAATCAGAAGACATCATTACACCTCTACACAAGTTCTACTTTGTATCCCATCATTAGTTCTAGTTCCCTCTACTTAAAAAAAAGCATATATTAGAACCAAGAACAGTTTGAGGAAGGCCAAAAAGAATGGTGAAAAAAAAAAAAGGAAGAGCTTCCACAGTTGGAATAAGTGAATGGTCCATATCAAGTCAGCCTGGAAGAGATACAGGTCTACAAAATCTTGAGTGGCACAGGAAGGTTGGAAAGAGATGAACTTTTCGATACCATCCCCACTCCCAACATAGCACGAGAGAATGATTCCTATGTTTGCAGACCTGTTGACATCCTCATCCTTCACAACACCATGTTATTCATGGCAAGAAGTAAATCCCCAGTAGACTAGATTGCAGCTAAGCCAGAATGCCTTTCTTCTTTCACCAGCAGATAGCCATCCAATGCTGCAATAGACAGTTCAGTGGCAGATTCAAGGAGCACGAATCTCAAAGAACTCTTCTGAGTTTATTCTGAAGGGATGCTTCAGTGTAGCATAACAGCAATCAGTAGGAATAGACACAACAATAGTATCCTATTGTCAATACCATAAGGCACTTTAGCCAGCAATCAGTAAAATACCTGACTGGCAGTGTTCTACCAGGTACAACTCATACAATGCCAAGTACGAGCAGCTCCAGCTGTTCTGTGAAGATCTGATGAAGCCTAACGTGTTCAATATCCCAGATACTTTTCCTCTACAGCAGGTCCTAGCTCCTCCTTCCTCTCCTATCACCATCACACAGTGATCATGAGCCAATGCTCAGCTAATGCCAATGCAAGGAGCAGCTGAATCCCACCTGGGACACTAATTTGGGTCTTTATCCAGCTACTAATTTCAATGAAGTTTCTCAAATCAGGATTAGCCAGCCTGTTCTAAACAACTAGGGAAGGAAGAGAGAAGCATGGCATCATTCAGCTTTGCTTCCTTACCAAGACTGGGCATTGAAAAAGGCCATCCAGAATCCATCAGATTCAAGTATGCTGGGAAGAACCAGAAAAACATGCCTTGCTTTCTGTATCTATACTGCTATCTAGTGGCTTCTTGCAGGCAGAAAAGTAAGGACAGACTGCTCTGCAGCTTGTTAGCTCAGTAGGCTGTCAGCTGTGTGCAGTTGGAAAACCTCTTAATGGGTGAATAGGCTCAAATGCCACCTGTAAAACTCTGGGGATCATTTTGAAATACCTATTCTAAGATGCACTGACATGAGTGGACATTATTTTCCATCAAAACTCTCTGATACAAAAATAAGTCTCAATTTGCCTGTAATACCAAGGAAAAAACTCCTAATGGGCAAGTACCTTTCATTATCAGCAGACCTCAGACTCCTTAAAAGTACAAATGGTTGGAATCAGATGGTTTTGGAAACCCCTCACTTCTTGTCTGAATCCCTGTGAAGATTATTTATTTGGCAAAAGCTTCAGGAAGCAGAAATTGCTGAAGATATTTTCTGAGCTCTGGTTCAGAAATCAGGTCAGACTTCCTCCAGCTCTGGCTATGGGCTGTAGCCCACAGCAGTGACCTGTCAACCAACCAGACAGAAAGCAATGTCTACAGAGGGGCTACTACTGATGCTAGATTAGTAGTTATTGCTAATAGTCAAACAAATAAATACAATCTCTGTATGGGAACTGCTGAGTCACGGCCTGAACCTCTGATTAATCACCTGAGGTGAGCCTTGAGTCAGCCAGAGGAGCACAGCTGAAGGCAATTCACCTGTGCTGCCGGAAGGGGTGGAGCCAGGCTCCACCCCTCCTGGACCTATTTAAGAGCTGGCTACCAGAGGGGAAGGATCTCTTCTGGAGATCCTCCTCTTTTGGTATCTTCTAGTGAGCTCAACCCAAGGGTAAGCTCTTCTACTTATTCTCTTTTGCGATCCTTGTTTGCTTTTGCCTTACTCTTTTGATTATATTGCGATTATAACATCTTGGTTATACAAATCTCAAACTAACAGAACCACTCTAGTCTCAGTATCTTCTTATACAAGGCAGCAGATGACATGAAGAAAGCAAGCAGCAGAGCTGGTTGCCAATTGAGGACAGGAGGTGTAGCTGCTCCACTGACCTCAGCTCCCCATAACAGCACAACCAGACCATGACCAAGTGTCTCAGCTGTTAACATCTACTGACTCTATTATTGTTCCTTTATGCCTTAATGGTTGACGTAGCTTTGTTGTATGCACGGCTCCTTTGAAAATAATCTTAATGACAACATTAGCTCTAAGCCTGCTGCCCTTTATGACAGCAATGTGTGCTTTAGGTATTGCATGTTGGTGCGTGGGCTGAGCTGCAGGGTGTAATTTGCACCCAGTAATACTTGGTGAGAGCTGGTCGCTCTCCCGCCTGAAAGAGCAGAAAACTACAGAGTAGTTCTGTTTACTTGGTTGCTTTAGAGACCTGGAAAGGAAATTTTCCACCCTAAGAACATCTCAGGGCAAACAAGGGCCCAAGGAGAAAGCCGCAGCAAGAAAGTGATGCGTTTTGCAGAGGAAAATGCACTTAGTCACACTTCTCTGAAAGCAAGCTGTGAGTATTCTGTAAGCTCCAACAATACCCCCATGAGGGGGTGAGCACCAGCAGCCCCTCCAGCTTTAACCATGGGTAGGCAGGAATTAACACACAGCTGTTTTCCAGAATGGGCATGCCCAACTTCAAGAAAAAATTAATGAAAGGTATTTTGACATACGATTACTACCAAGGTTTTCCATCTGTTGTCTGTGCCAAAGCAGCTATGAGGTTTCTTCCCCCCTCAGATGACTGTTTGTTTTGTAGCAGAGGATATATTACATAATAGAGACAAATTTTAAGACTGTGGTCTTCCTTTTGGATGGTTTTCCTTTCGTGATTGAATAGTCATCCTGCCCCTTTCTTTTTCTGAAAGTTAGAGAGAATTGAAGCAGACTGTATCAATGAATATTTTAGGTTGGAGGGGGACTTTAAAGTCCATCCAGTCCCAACCCCCTCACCAGCTCAGGCTGCCCCATCCCACCTGGCTCTGAGCATCTCCAGGAAAGGGGCACCCACAGCTCTGCATGTGATGGCCTCTCTCTGAGTAAAGAATTTCTTCCTAACATCTCACCCAAATCTCCCCTCTTTTAGTTTAAAGCCATTCTCCCTTGTATGTGGTAACTTTCCTTATGGTTTGATAAATGGAATCTGGAAATTTCCATTCAAGCCAGTAGGGTTTCTGTTCCTGGAACAAGCTGATAAAAGTTTTTAATTAGCATTGTAGCTTTTATTTGCTTTATTAGAATAATATGAGTGATGCTTTAGTAGTCCAGGCACACTGCAGAGGGAGCAGCTAACATTTTGGAAAATATTTAAAGTCCCAGAGATGACAAAGGAAAGCATGCATACAGTCCTTAGTGTATTGTGTAAATGTTTTCCTCTGCGTGGATCTCAACTTCCAAGGCACTTTGGTTCCCAGCACGTTCTGGTCTCCAAAATGCAACAGAGCTGCACACATGAGTAAAAACAAGGCTGTTAAACAACAGACAATAGAAACACAAAAGAGCAGACTGTTAAATGAACCAGCTCACTGGAAAAATTGTAAAATATGCAAAAACACTTATTTAAATACAACTGATAATGAATCATTTTTCCATTTATGAGACAACCCACACTTGAATTTTCCCTGCTCCCTAATGCACTGAATTGACAGTTAGACTCATTTTTTGTTTATAAACTAAGGATGAGCAGCAGGATTTATTAATTTCTTTTGCAATGTTTCTTATTAATTTGAGATTAAAAAGAAAATCAGAGTATGTACAGTCATCATGCATCTAGCAGGAATCACAGCAACTCCCCGTGGGACTAGTTTGTCCTATTAGCTGAAGCAGAAATAGAATACTTACCTTGCAGACTTACTCAGTTTCTTCATATTGCGTAAATATCCTAAGGATGATCCAGAATGAAAATAAAGAAAAATAAACATTGTTCTTTAAACCATCCTAAATAAGTAAAGTTACAGGTTTAGCCAAAAAAAAATAAAAATAAAAAATGTGCAGGAAACGAAATTAGGGAACTTTAAGCCGAGGTTTTCAGTATAGGAAATCCCCATAAGTTCCATGAAGTTAAATTCATGTGGTTTCATCTGACCAAGAGCATTTAAGGAGAAAGTCTGGCACATGAAAAACGTTGGGTATAGTGACATGAAACCAGGGCCTCCTTCCTTATCATTAAGAAGGTCAGGGACAACACAGGCAGTGCCCACGAGGAAAGGAGCAGCGCAGGGGACGTGGGTTTGTACCACGTCTCCTCACCAGCTCCAGGTAGGGTGGACATAAGCTCACTTTCATGGCACAGGAGACACGTGTGGCAAAGTCACAGCTGTGATTCAATGTACCCAACCCACACCTGAATAACTGCCTCTGAGAGGTACTTACGTCTACCTAGGAACAGACCCAAACCGAGGATGAGCAGAAACCCCACGCACAATCCAGTTCTGAGGTAAACACTCTTTTCTGAATACTGCTGACTGTGAGTTGATATGGATGAATTCTGTCAAACACAAAACAAATTCATGTCAGTGGAACTCAGAGCATAAATCCTATGCAGGACCCAGAGGACATTTGTGCATTTTGTAAAGCTGCAATTAAAATGCACTTGGGAGCAAGAGCCCAACTTGAGATACTAGTTTCAAGAATTCACAACACTTGTGTGAGCCCTGCTGTTAAATATATTACTCCTTAACACTGTCAAAGAACCTGAGGTTATGACCAGTCCCATTTGTTCACGTTTGTTCCTGGTTCCTTTCAGCCCAAGGAAGAAGCCTAACATTTAATACTGTTTGGTGAATATCTTTATTTAATCATAAGATTAAATATCCCCTGCTGTTTTCCCTCTGCCTCCCTTTCTTGCCAGCTTACTCAGTAGTTATGTGAAGCTTTATCCCAGGATGTGAACATGCCTTCACCTTTCAACACAACTTATGGAAGCCAGCCGATAGGTATCCAACCACTCCCTAAGAGCTGGGAAGATGCTGAAAGGTAGTGCAGTCCCTGACTTTCTGCACGTGCAGCAATATGAATGCCCACATACATACTACCTTGCAGGACATAACATCAGAGCTTCCCAAATGGTAGCTTGGCTGTCTTGCCTTCCTGACAAAAATTAAGATGATGCTACTGCCCATTAACACACAGCATGAGCTGGAGGACTCAGGGCAGATAGGGCTGTGAGCTTGAACCCCGTACACACGTGTGGCAGGTAGATCCCTGTGCTGTCATGTGGTCCATTTTTGACCCTTCCCCATGTCCTGCCGGTACCTGCAGGCTGGAGGTTACTTCTGGGTAGTCTGAGATGCTTGAGTAGGAACCAGAGGCCTGAAAGGCAATACAGATGCTGCTAAAGGTCTTCCCTCTTTAGTAGGAAGGAAACAGTTTTTGCAAGCAAAGCAGTTTGCTTTCTCCCTTTCATAATGACCCCATAAGCATTCTTTTGTAAGCATTAAATATGCAGACTGTAAGAAAATATCTGTTATTTTGCAATCAAAACAAAATGCTGTAATTTAACTGCAGGAATCACCCGGTAACTTCCGATGTCTAAGCACATCATCTCAGTATAGCACAACAGTGATGCTTACAGTCTCAGGAGCTTCTGAAAGAGAAACTGGTGGCCACGTTCTGACAGTAAAGGACGCTTCACTGGCACTCCCAGGAGCTGAGCAAAAGCAAGACAAACCAACATATCACTCTCACAGGAAACCATTCTGCTTGGACAAAGAATGTATGCTACTGACCTGAGACCATTGAAACTAAGTACCTCTGTCTGGAGTTTTTGCTGTGTATATTATAAAGATGTTGTGCCATCCAAAGGCATTGCAAAATCCCTCCAGTGCCCTTTTCAGAGCTTTGAAATCCTTCCAGGAAACACCTGCTATTATCTCAACACGGAGCCTAAAAAGATGGAGTTGGGCTCTGGATCCCTATCATAGATCAGAGGAGGCAGTGGATGTAAAACTAGATTATTTGATGAAAATTGATAAACAGCAGCTCAGGGCCTTGGAAGATGAATTGGTGTAGAATTGCAGATAGCAAGCTGTACTTTTGAAGTCCCAGATCACAGCTATACAATAAACAGCTGACTGAAGTGTGATACATTTGCATAGAGCATGCAGTGGATTTTGAGGTAATTTCCCAGAGCAGTTTTCAATATTTAAAATAGAGCTACAAACTGCTTTGTTATCCGCATCATCCGTCACAGTTTCTCTGTGTGCTGTCAGATGATACAAAACCCTCCCAGGGTGGCTCCTTTCATGTTATAAATGGTTAACTTTATGTCATAAGCTGCATTTTGAAGAGTGAGGATCACCTGCTTCACTGTCCTCTTTTTCAAGACAGATGCTGGAACATCCCTACATCAGAGGAACACAGCCACCCATCTTTTTAAGTGTCCCCATGCAGAAATTAACTTGTATTCTCAAAAAATTGCTCCCCGGCAGCTAAGGAGGATGTCACATGGTTAAGAAAACCCATGAGAGCTGAGACTGGAAGCCATATCATTTGCAACAAGAATAGAAATGGTTTGAGAACATTTTCACTTCTTCTTCCAAGAAGGAAATGCAAGTGTTGTAACATTTTAGTGTTGCTCAACTGGTAACGTTTGAGATTGAGGGATAGATAAAATAGCATCCCTGATTTTTCTTTCAAAATCCTGCCATTAAGCTGTCATTAACTACGAACTCTGCTGTGAGTACTGGATATTAATGTTGGCTTTTTCAGATTTAAAAAAAGAAGCTGAGTGGGTATATGACAGACATCTATAGATGCACACAGTGGAACAAAGCTGAGTAAGGAAAGGATATTCCATCACAGTGATGGGCCTCACTTGAGACTATGCATAGACTGCAGGGGATGTGGGCAACCTCTGAGACACAGGCAACAGCAGGGTAAAAGAATACTTATGATACAATATGTTGTATCATAACATTTCTGCTGTTTCTATATTCCTCCTCAATTTTCTGCAGTTGACAGCTAATGGAGATGGGATCCTGAACTAGATATATGTTTGAACCAACCCAGCAACACAGTTCTTTGTTACTTTACCTTAACCAACAAGTGCTTTGATTAAATAGTGAGCACACACACAGATCCTAAAACCATGTGTTTTATTGTTCACGGGATGCACTTCTGGATGACAAGGTGAGACTTTATACCACAGAGAAAACATATCCTGAAACAGCCACAGGGAAAACAACACTTGAAGCACCAATGAAGCATCTAGTTAAGCCCAACACCTGGGAACAACATACAAGCTCCTTCTGCTAAGCCTCTAAATAATATGAGGTAGAATTTACAGGCCAAGTTCAGATCTCAAGTCCTATGGCAGGTTCAGTAAATTTTAGCCAAGATATTTCTATCATCTGTCATTTTGTTTCTTTTTTAAGATGTCCATTTGCAATGCAGCTAAAATATGCTATTGCCATTAATACTTGGAAAAAAGTTACCTGAGGTCGGTGGAGAGGTGTGAGTGAGAGGAGTTGCAGTAGAGACCCTAGCTGGTGTTAGAGAAACAAACAACAGGCATTATAATTAATGTCCATCCACGCAGTGAAAAAAGAGAAAACGTTTCTATAAAAGCGTGCTCAAACCAGGCACACACCTGTGAGACAATTGTTCCTTATGTTATCACGTTTTTTTTTCACAAGTAGAGATGAACTAAAACCAAAAGAAGAGTTTCCTTAAAGAAAAATTGTCAGTGCTGTTTGCGTATCCCTGGGCTTTACCCTGAAACCCAGCAGAAAAAGATGAAACATTATCTTTGTGATACAGCTGCAAGTACGGCACTTCAGATACCCTACAGTGCCCTCATTCTTCATTTCTATAAATAGTGCTTCCAAGGAAACTCAGTAGCACTGCATACCATTAAACAAAGCACCACTGCCTTCGTTGTTTGCTTTTTTATTGCTATTACTGCAGTGATTACAACATTCTCAAAGGCAGATTAGCTTTCACCCAACTAATGGCAGGTCTGCCAGATGCTAAAGACTGATTCTATGGATGATGACAGAAATCGCTTCCTCCACAAGCTTCAAACTCCAGACGGAGCAGCAGAGTCACTGCGACAGCACTCACCTCTCTCAACCACCACCTGGAGGTTGGTTGTCTTGTCGTTGAACCACCCCGGGATCTCCACACGGCAGCAATACGTCCCACTGTCTGTTTCCTGGGCATTCAGGATGGTGAGGGACACGTCGCCCTTCAGCAGGTTCCCTTTCAGCACATACTTTATGTGGTACCCCTCTGTCACCTTCCTCCCATCTGTCCAGATAATGGGGCGAGAACATTTGGAAGGGGGGCAGGCATCGCGGCCCCAGCACACTGAGGTGATGTCATGTTCTGTCCTAACCGTGTAAAAGCAGGGCACGGTGATGTTCTGACCAACCTCTCCCTTCACCAGCAGTCCTGACACTGTAGGGCCTGTGGACAGAAACACAAACATTAAAAGGTCGCGTGCAGCAGGCAAAAAGGTGAAGAGAGAATGGAGTTTGGACCTGCACAGCTCTGTGACTTCTCTTCAGCCACATCCAGGTCAATGGGTCTTGGTTTTTCTCTTAGCTTAGATTTAATCCAAACCAGGCATGGGAGAACAGAAAGGCATCATTTTTCATTAAAACTATAGTGGGAAACCCTTCCTCACTTTCAGTAAAAAGCCACTGAAAGGCAGTTTTCACCAGCATTATAGCTGTGCATTTCCTTTTTTCTTTCGCTAAGAAAGGATTTGGGCTGTGCCTATCAGAACAGATCTTCCAGAGCTTTCCTAAAAACTTCTGTATCTTCTTTTTTTCCCTAGCTTAAAATCCCCCCTCATTCTTCCCAAGCTTCTAACCCATTCAGTTCCCACAGCATGGGATCCAAAGTGCAAAGATGTTGATTTACCCACATTAACATTTCAGGGATAGAATTCACTGTGGCAAGGATGGAAGTAGGAAATAGTCTAGCAGCTAATCATCTCTAATCAAAGTCCCTGCATATCACTGGCAAGGGTGCTGCCCTCAGCAGGTAGCTCAACTTGTGCCAATGGATCCCAAGCAGCGTCTGGCTTCATTGCCATTGTTCCTTGGGAAAAAGCAGTCCTGCCCAATTTCATCTCAGCCATGTTTTTCCTAAACTATGCTATAATAATTATAAATAAGTCTTATGCAAAGATTTTGCCACAGTAACGTACCAGGAACTAATCCCTGACAATAATGCATTTTATTTAATACAAAAAGGAAACTCTAAATGAATTTCATCATAAAAGGCTTTAGAAAAAACTAGAAGTATCTGTAGTCTCTTTTTTGTCTGTTGAACATATCCTACCAAATGTTTCACGTCCATCTGCCTGTATCAATAGCTCTGCTTTAAAAGGGAGATATGATCGTCAGAATACTGTGATAAAGTTTTACTGAATATGCAAAACAGCAATTGCTGTGCAATGCAACCACTCTTACCACCGTAACCCAGAATCTCTCTGCAGCCCCCAGAAGCACTGATGCACATTACCTCCCTTCCATCTGCTTCCAGCTATTTTTCACACCCACTGAGTTACCTGTAAGCCAGATCAGAAGGATCCAGTCCAGGAAGTAATGAGAAGACATCGTGGCTGAGGATGAGGAATGTTCTTATTCACTCTTTATGCACCTACATTCAAAATAAACTATCGTTTTCATAAACTGCTGGTTTTACTTCTCAGTACTAGCACGTCAGCTTCAAACAGGATGATGCCCTTTGGTTTGATCAGGATTGCCTTTCCTGTGGTTAGTCTGTTAGTCACTGAAGCTGCTGCTGCTGAGAACGCATGCAGCTGAATGCTTGCTGACTGTGGTTTGACTATAAGGTTAAAATACTCAGCAGCACTTCAGAAATCTACTTCTCTTTTTTCCCCCCAGATCTACTTGCTTATAGCAGGTTAAACTGTTAGTACCACCAAGCTGTCACCACCAATAATCCATTGCCTCAAGATGGGTTCCCACACCCAGAAGAGATTACATAAGTGTAGCAGACCAGTAAACAGAAATCATTCAGCAATGTAAGAGGGTCTTAGGAATTATTAAACCAGCATCTAATCCTAAATTCTGCTTCTAACTTTGCTACTTTAAACAAACGTGATATCCTTTACAGCAGGAATACTGGAAGCTTCCACTTCTCAGGAGTAGACTAAACAGAGCTGCAGCCTCTCGTCACTCAGCTCTTAGAAGTTCAGCACGATTCTGAGCTTTTACCATACCGAGTAACACACAGCACAGAAGCCATCTGAGAAGCTGGGTGGCAACAGTGGTCATTAGGAGAAATGTGTTACTTAAAAAGTGGTTTTTCTGGCCACTTTGGGTTGCCCTGAGTGAGAACATGGAGTCTTTTAACATCATTCGGACTAGAACTGCAGCTGTGATCAAATGTGATCCATAGGAAATTCACGTTCTCTGCTGAAACAGATGATCTGCCTTTTATACAGACAAATTAAGTTGCAAGGAATGACTTTTTAGAACTAACAAATAAATGCAGCCAAGTGGCAGAGCTACACCAGCAACATATCTGCTGGAAAAGGATGGAAGAGGGAGAAAGGGCAACCTGTGCGTGCAGATTTATGACTGAACAAGAACACACTTCCTCTCTGCTGCTCCTGCTTCTGGGGAGACAGGACACTGCAGGCAGCTTTTACAGACATCATGCTGACCATTAACAGCAGTATCCTGGGACTGCACTGCAACAACAGAGTTTAGCTTTGTTTTTCCTCCCTCTGAATAATCAAAACTTCCCCTTTTTGCTCACTGACAACACACTTGCCTTCCCTGTTTCAAACAACTGCACTTATCCCCGAGCTCACTTGGTGTTATAAAAGAACCAGCTTGTTGTTGTTTTAAAGCAGCATTTTGTTCACTCTTCTTAACATACAACATTACCTTTATCCTACTGAGTTCTGTAAGGCATTTATAATCCAATTCACTTCATACATTAACATTTCACAGGAATAGAATACTTCAAGTATCATCATCACATCCAACAGCAACATCAGAAGTTTTGTTTTTTTTCTTTTTTTGAGGTTAAGAAAGACCTCATCATCACGAGTCGGCTAATTAGAAGAGACAACATCCATAGCCTCACTTTGAAGTCAGTGACTCATATCCTACACAATCTGAAATGCAGCTCCCATACAAGGCATACATCACCCACTGCCTTCACTGCAGCTACAGTTGAATTATTGGTTTTTTGCTTTGTTTTTTTTTTTTTTAAATCAAGAGCAAATTTTTAAAAGGAAAAAAAGAGAGCCATCATTGTATTGATGTGACAAAAGCGAGTTGCCATTTTGGCTGAAGAAAAACTCAGAAAGTACCGCGGTCTCCTGCAGGTACTTATCTCAGGGTTTGCCTTAAAGACAGACCCCAAAGAATATAGAGAAAATTATTGCTGAAACTTCTTGGAAAGTTGAAAGCAGTCTTACGATTTTAAACGACGCGATCCCCAATTACTTCATTGCTTTCACCAGAAGTTAATTATGACTACTGGTTACTGTTAGAACCCAGCCTGTAGTTGGAAGTACAGCACTTGGGCCTTCAACTTCATTAGAAACATAAAAAGTGAAAGAAAAAAAAACCAAAAACAACCAAAGAAAGACCTTGGGCATCTATAGCATTGAATGGCAGAGTTCGAACATCTGTGGCAAAGTAACTCCACACGCATGATCTCTTATCCACAACACACTAAAGCTGTTTCTTCCTATCTTCCACTTGAGGAGCATTTGCAAAGCAGACACCCAATTAATTCAGCTGACCCACAGTAGTTTTAGTTACTGGAAAACAACTGTTCAGATAGTTCAGGGAGAAGGAAAGAGTGGGAGCTGCATAGAGGTCAAAAGTTTTAACTTCATGAAGTTACTTATAAACGTTTCTGAAAAAACATGTTTTCTCTTTACTATCACTTACATCACACGTACTTGAAATAGCAGATTAGTTCCTGCTGTGAGTCACCCGTTTCCTTCAGCTCATCTTTAGCTACACTGATCTCAATCCCACCACCCAACAGTTAAGATCTACCTGCTCATTTAAATAAATCTGCATGCCTGAAAACAGCTGAATGATCTCATATATCGTTTGCATAATGAGTGTTAAAAATAGTTTCACTAAGTTCCCTCATCCACAAAGTTAAGCTTTTTTTCTTTTAAGGTGCTACATCTAGTTTGGAAAACATACATGCTACAGACAGGAGGAGCTGGGTAAAGAAACCATTATCAAATCACTCTTTTCCACTTGCCATAAGCTTGATCCAACTGCAGTTCTCTTTAAACATGACTGATTTAGCTTCCATTTTACAGACTTCAGGAGTCTTTCTAACTTGAGAGTTCTCAGTTAGTATAAAAGCTAATTATCCATTTAATCAACTTAGCTGTAGAGAACCACAACTTCACAAATCTAAACAAGACAAGTTACATCACAATACATACATAACAAAACAATTCTTAAGTACTCTTTAACACTGTTACATTACTACAAAGTTAGACAGGAATGGATTTCTCAGATTTAATATTGATTTAATTTTTAATATAGTGTAACTGAAAAGACTCATTTCAAATGTAAACTAACATTTATTTGAAATCCAGGAACTGTCAGCTTCAATTTCACTCAGTCAGATGCTCTGCTTCCACAGCGTAAGGCATTTACAAGACGAAGCATGTCCCAGAAAGCTGTAAGTGACAAAACAACGTTCTACAAAAAAAAGCTAACTTTAACAGCATCCACACAGGACAAAGCATACGTTGTTGTTTTTACCAATACACATATAGCCCATACAAAATATTAAATACCCACAGCTGCTCACACCCACCCCACAGTAGGTGCGAATGTTTCAACTGCTGGCACAACAGAAAAACAAAATACAGCACATACCCTCACAAGCCATCTGGCCTCTGTATTGTATGCTAACATAATAAATACTTCCTTCATGTCATTTCATCAATAATGCTACACATAGCTGCATCTTTGTCTAAAACCTGATCTCTCTTGCAGCCAGAACGTTCTCTCTGCTTCTCACTCTGTCCAATGCAGCTGTTGCCATCATCAGCGTCCATTGGTTCTGTTTTCACTCCCAGTCCTCCCTCTGAATGAGGGAGATCATCAGGCAATGATGCCAGGCAGTTCTGAATCATCTCCACAACTCTCTCTAAATGCTTCTGAAATCGCTCTGCAGTTTCCAGACGCTGACGTTTCTGCACTTCCATCATGACTCTCAGGGTCTCCCTAGCTTGGTGGGGACGGTACTCATTTATAAGATGATGCACATGAACAAACAGCAGTTTCAGGTCCTCCAGTTTCTCTTCTCGCTTTATACTCCCTGGACTCCTTATCAAGATATCCAAGAGATCCAAAAAGTTGACCAAGATAGACATGTTAAGTTTCCTTAATTCCTTTTTGTGATCAAACTGCATCGGATGCAGCCGTTCAATACCCTGGCTTTCCAAGGGTCGGATAATTAAGTCATCACACTGGAACTGATTACCAAACATCATGTAACTGTCTTTCACAGGTGGAGGTGGCTTCGGTGCCAGACCTTTACGTATGTTTTCATCAGTATATTCTTTTATATATTGCATTGGAGGTGGAGGAAGGGCACTCACTTGCTGAGGTTCACCCATTTTTGCAGATGAAAATATCTAGCAAATACCAAAGAAACGTACATTAAATAACTTATGTGACAACTTTGTAGCACGTAGAAAGCAGCATACAGCTAGCTATAAGAAAACACACAAGACAGGAGCTACTTCAGCGTGCACAGAATAGTAAACTCTCCAATAAATCCACGTTAGCTTTCTACTGAAATACACAGCGCTTCCCAAACCAGACCTGCCAGTGAAGAGGCACAAGAAGGAAGGCCCGGCCCACCGCTACGGCCGGGCTCCGAGAAGGCCCAAAAGCCGCACGGCGGGGCTCGCCGGGCCGCTGCTGAAGAGAAACAAAGGCGGAGGCCGCGCTCGGCAGGAGCCCGGCGGCAGCTGGCCAAGGAGCCGGCCGCGCACACAGGGCGCACACAGGGCGCACACAAAGCACCCCCTCACCTGCCCACCTGCCCGCCGCGCTCCGCTGCAACCGCCAACACCTGACTTCCGGCGAGCAGCTCTTCTTCCTCCTTCCTCCCATTGGCTCGCAACTCAAGCAGGGTGACAGGCTCTGATTGGCTCTCCTCAACGCCAGTCAGAAGCTTGCTCCACTCACAGCCAGGGCTCATTCGGGAGGCGGTGCGGAGCAGGGTTCGCATCGCGGCGGGGGCGTTGGGGAATGGTGCCCCCTTGCGGCTGGGAGTGGCGCGGCGGGGCTCTGAGCCGGGATCTCAGCAGGGGTCCCAGCACGGGTCTTCCGGCGGAGGCAGAGATGGGAACGGGCGATCTGGCTTTTGTAGGCATCAGACCCTCCGCGAGACTTACTTCTGCATGTTTAGTGTTTAGTATTCCAACTGGAAAGCCAGGACTGCTTTCATATAATCATAGAACATCCCGAGTTCGAAGGGATTCATCGCGTGCAGCTGCTGGCTCTGCATGGAACCACCTAAAAATCAGTCCGTATGTCTGAGAGCATCATCCAGACTCTTCCTAAACTCTGGTGAGCTCGGTGCCAGACCCCGAGGAGCCTGTCAGTGTGATCCCAATGCTTTAACCATTGAATGATGCAGCAGAGACTTGGGTGTTATTCTGGTCACAAAATGAAAGCATTGCCCTGGGAAGTGTTAGCATCCTTTCTATAGCTGAACACACCCAGCCTGGATGCACAAAGTCTGCAACAAACTGCTGGGACTTCTTGTTTTTCTTCCATTTTTGTTTCAGGCAAAGTTCAAGAAAAAAAATAGAGGATTTATGTACTCCACATTGCCATGGGAATCTGGGCTGGCTGGCAGCATCTCTGCAGATGGCCACTGGTGTGGCAATGGGGCATTTGTGCTCTGATTTCTTTTTTCCTCAGCAGATGGCAGTAACATCCCTCATCCGGCAAGAGAACCCCTGTCTACATGCCCTATCATGTGCAGAATTGCTATTTGGGATCATTTTGGGGAGGAGGAAATGTTTTAATAATGAATACCTAAACAGTTAAATAAATAATCCAAATTAAAAAACAAAAACAAAACACTCTACAGTTGAGGTAGCACTGAAAATGAGTGCAAACCCCTGACATCCAAAGAGGCATTCCAAGGATTGATGTGCTTTAGCATTGCTGTACAGTATTTACACATTTAAAAACATATTGCTGATGACTTCAGCCGTTAGCTCATTTCTTAGTAAAATATCAGTTTGTTACTTGGTCTTTATTAAAGGTTTATCCCTATTTTTTCTCTCTAATCACACGGATTGATGCCATCAGTGTAGTTGTAGTTTAGTATTTATCCGCATGTATGTATGTACAGATATAGCCTGTCATATTTTCAAATATAGACTCAAGGATTTCTCTTTTTCATGTAACTAGGCATCACTTCATGCACATTGCCCAAAGAAGAATATTCTTGCCATTCATTAGTTGCCTACAATTTCGGTTTAGGGAAAAGTGACAAGTTAATTTGAGTGGAATCTGTATTTGTCAATAATCTATAGACTGCTGGATCTGATGCTTTTTGATAACAGAAGCAATATCTTCACATTTTCTGCCCATGGAACCAATAATTCTATTTAAAGAGTGAGACAAAAGTCCTTACATGAAGGATCTTCTGGTGCCCCAAGATGTGAATTGACAGAGTGTTTTCTTCAGAAACACATCCATAACGATTGAAATGGAACAGGCACTGAGTAGTATAAGCTTTGAACATTCTGTTCAGCCTCAGGAGGTTGGGTGTACAGAAAGCTCTTATTCTTTGTGTGCAAATAACCTAATGGTCAGCCATGTTGTGCAACACAATGCAGAAAAAACATAATAGCTTGATGTGGTTTGGCCACATTGCTTTCTGTTTTCAGCATTTCAGCACTGTACCTGTGAAAACCATCCCTTTGAAACATAAGAGTTATGCTAAGACATTTGTAAGAGCCACCTTAAAGAAAACTGGAGAGAACAAAAAGTTATTTGATTTCAAAATAAATATTATATGCTTTTTGTTTTGTTTTTCAATCAAGACACACTCAAAAAAGTTGAGGAATGATGTTTAAAAAATTGCTACTATTCACTACTTCCCTACCATGGTTATGGAACTCCATAGACTGAAGGGATCCTCTGCATGTAAAGTTTGAGCTGGGTCCCTGGTAGTCTCTCATGCCATGATTTTGCTGTTCAACATGAACCAGTCATTCAAACTCCTCATATTAAGACACAAGGTCCTTTGGGATCAATAGGACATTTAAGAGACCTTTAATTTTCATTCTTAAAATCCAAATTCATTATCCCATAACTTCTTTAATCAATTTGTGATCCAGTCAGGTAAGAGGCCAACAGTCTGGAGCAAAAAATCACACACAATCAGCCAGTTGTTTCCAAATATTACTTCAGTGCATACAAGTAATCATTTTGAAGAAGAGAAAGAGCTCCAAGATGGAGATACAGATCTTAACACACAGATATAAAAATATGGAACTGAGAACATGGTTTTCTGATAATGGCAAGGGCATGGTTCCATGCTGCAATTAGACAGCTGCTGATTTGAAAAGAGGAGCTCTCATTCCCTCACCTTCCATCGGGTTCTGCTCTGCTTTCTTCCTTCACTGCTCCTCCAGCCCTGACTTCTGGCTGTACAGCCTTTTCCTGTCACTGCTTTGTAGGATCACTGACAGGCGTTGGTTTGCAAAGCAAACTATTGCAACTCCAAACCCCACAGACAAGGAATTAAAAGCACCACCTCCAGAGTAGCATGAGAAAACCAATCTAGTAGGAGGCATTAACAAGTCTTTGGTTTTGTTGGACTTTCCAGACTGTGATTTCACATTCTTATACCAGGAGCTGAGCTCGATTATCAGCTGGTTTGCACTCTGTGAACCACACAGTACAGCTCTAAATGCTGTGACTTCAAAGGGTAGAAGGTAGTAGGGAGCCAAGCACTTGTTTTTCACATGGTCTGTGTGATCTTGAGTCATTTTCCCAGTTTGCACGTAGTGGCCAACAAATGAAAGAAGAAAAAGGGTTTTCATTTTCATTTTTGGTAGCATGACTGATTCTCAGAAGGCTCTTGGATGACCCTTCCCAGCATATGGGGAGCTGTTAACATTTTCTCTGCAGTGGTTCCAAATGAGAGACTGAGAATGAAGGCGAGTGTCACACATAGCACTCTCAAATTTGCTTTCTACTGCATTTCTGCTGTTGTCTGAAATAAGGTCACTGTCCAAGACAAGTCCACCACTGATAATACAGCTCAATAACTACAGCATCTGCAAATTGTTGGAATGAACCCATCAGTTCATTCACCAGTTCAGCAGATGGGGAGTCACTTAAACAGTGTTCTCTGCCACAAAGACAGAAGATCTTAATTTATTGCTTTAGTTTCATTTATTTTAGTTTTATTCATAACTAATTTCAGACAAATTGCCATGTTTCATTATCATTATGTTCCCTTAATTCGGCAAGTGTGTACAGCTGTACACTGTTATCATAGCAGGATTTAGCAGAACATAGCAGGACATAGCAGAATTCAGGAGGTGTACAACCACAGTAAATACAAACCCCATTTTCACATAGCTCTGCTCCCTTCTACGATGGAACATATTTCTGCAATTTTTGATTGTCACTGCAGCCTAAATAGTAGATAAATTAAATTTGGTTTGTTGTTTGTTGTTTTTTTTTTTTTCTTTTCCTAAGTAGCCTGAAAGGGAATTTCAATATAAGACAGAGTTGCAGCCTCTTGCTTTGTTTAGGTTGTTTCATCTTACAGCCTGGTTAAGCAACAAGCTCAGGAACTTCCTTTTTTGATGACTGTTGAAGGCTTCATTGCAGGACATACCTGGGAGGAGGGGAAGAGAAAAGGAGCCTGTTGGGGGTGAGGGGTCTTACACTTTATGTCTCCATCTGCTGTGGTTAATTCCCATCTCCTGCTGTGGCTGTGGGAATTAATGAATTTGAAATGCAGTGCTATGCTGCATTTTCTTTCTTATTCCTCAGACCAAAATATCAGCTTCAGCCTAGTTGTACGCTTACAAACGTAGGAGAGAAGCTTTGTGTTTCCCCTCATATAAAAACTGGGACACACCATTCTTCAGTACACGAGAGTTGAACTGCTCTTTGCTATACAATCTGTGACTACTGGTATCTGAGTAGATGAAGACCTCAGCACAGCCTGAACAGTTTTTTAGTCATGAAATAGACACCTCACTACTTGTTCATGGTTCAAAATCCAGGCATATTTTATTGGAATCAGCCAGCACTCTTTCCTGTGTTCATAGTCTATTATTTCTGGAAGCAGATCCCCTACCTGATTATTAAGCCAGGCATTAATGTGGGGTCTTCACACAGTCAGAAGTCTGTGATGACTGCCTATTCTAACTTGTAAATGAAACTGTCTCCAAAACTGTGTCTGTATGGCATGGAGAAGTACTCCTTACCCAGCCATCAGCATCCTGGGTAGCTGCCTGCAGGCCATGCTGCCAGAACAAAATGCAGGATTTGAAGCACTGCAGATTTTCCAGCACTGTAAGTCATGCCTTTGTCTTCAGAAGCAAATAGTAAGGGACAGCAACCTTGTTAGGCAGGCACTAACAGAATGACTTAGAGCAAATTTCCAGTTTAGATACAACCCCATGCAAGTATATTTTCCCTTCTGTATTTTTGCCTAGGTGAGAACAGCTGAGCAAAGGATTATTTTGTACTTATATCATAGAACAAGTACAATCCCTGTGCAAGTTCAGTGGTTTAAAATGTGTTCCCTATGTTCCTGGGAATATCAGCAAACCTATGAGTGATTTGCTTCAGGCATTCAAATCATGGATAATTCACTGTATCCTCCTAGCAGATGCTCAGAACAAGGCTCTACTTTCCTAGGGCTCAC